ATACTTATTTAGTGATTAATGCTCATGGTAATACAACTACAAGCTAGCCTCCCAATAATCAACAAAAATTGAATCAACAACACAAGAATATTAAAACCCTAAGCTAAAATTTAGACTTTCAAAGATACACAAGAATATCAAATCCCTAAAGCTAAAATTTAGACTTTCAAAGATAGAATTTCTTACCTGATAAACCCATTCTAACAACCCTAAATATCTACGACGTGAGGCGTGTTCATCTGTGAAGCATTTTGTTCAATTTTCAACAAAAAATCTGACGGAACAACTCTTCAACAAGGAATCTGTGAGGAAAATTGTGTTCTTCAGCTCTTCAATCTTCAACAAGGAATCTGTGAGGAAAGTTTCATAGAAATCTGTAAGGGAAATCTATCATTCTTCAGTTCTTCAGTTCTTCAGACTTGAGAGAAAAGCGTATTGTCCATGTGTTGAAAAGTGGAATTTTTTCTGATTTGGGGGGAAACAAGTTTTAATGTTTCAGGAGTTATTATTTTTTCCCAATAAAAATTGGAGGGAGAACAAGTTTTAATGTTAAAAATGTTGGAGGGAATATAATATGTTAGTGAAAATATTAAGGCCACATTTGTAATGTGTTGTTTTACAATTATAAAAATAGGACACTTCAAAAGTGTGGCCATATATGTAAATAGTTGTTGCCAATTATGTCATACAGAAACAACGTTTATAAAGTGTAGCTTATACCATTAAAGAGTACACTTTACAAGTGTTGCCAATATTATCGTAGCTAAAAGTTAAAAACTTGGGCTACACTTTAAAAGCGTCCCCAAAAGTATTTTAGGCAACACTTTGAAAGCGTTGTCCAGAATAAGTGTGGCTGTAGGCCTAAAATGTTGTAGTGCAATTAACATCTTAAATCATCAATACTATGAGGATAAACCTAAACCCTTAAAGTTTCCCTTCATGGCATCAACCCAATTATATCAATTCTAGATTAGAATCATGAAATAGGCATGGGTACATGTAATTTCATCCTAAAAAATGTAATTCTATCAACTCAATCATAAACAATCATAACCCACTCAAAATATATCAACATTCATCATAACCCACAACATTAGAAGAAACCCTAACTAGAATTGGGGAATTCATCTTTCAAATTAGGGAATTCTAGGGGACTCCATGGGAGAAAGGATCCCATGGATGAAAAACCATCATACCTTAATCACAAAGCCCACAAAAGCTTGAAGATTGGAGACTTGACTTAACCGTAGCTTCAACTTTTCCTTCTTCTTCCACCTTCTAGAGAGAGAATATTTGAGAAAGGAGTTTTGAGATTTCTTTTGGGATTTGAGTGAATGAATTGAATGTGGCATTTTCGGGGTTAAAATTACTTATATAGGTGTTCTAGACTTAGGCAAAATGAAACCACATTGATTTAATTAAAACCGGAAAAGACCCATAAGTCCCTAAAATTAACTGCCAGCGAGGACCTACGGACCCCCGACTGACAGACTCTGGTTAGGACGATGGACCGTCCTGCACGGCCGTCATTCAATGGTCAGAGACTGGTTTTCTAAACCTTGACCTATGGACCTTGGACCATGGACCGAGGTCTAAACCTTGGCTTGGGTGACCAACCATGGACCCTACTTACGGTATGTGGGTTAGTCCACGGGCCATGGGTGGCTGGTGTTGATGGCACCTGCAATTTTCCAAAAGTTGTTATTTTGCCTCTTTTCGAATCCGGGATGTTACATTATCTCCCCCTTCGGATCATTCTTCCTCGGATTAGATTCTAAGCGCGTTTTAAAATAAAAAGACTCAAGACTAGCAGTCCATCAAGCATGCAACTCATCAAAATGCACACAACCTAGGAGTAAACATCAACTCAAAGCTAAACATACTTAATGAACTATAAGAGAGTAGGAACAACATCTAACAACCCAATATGCATGAAATTTTCAGATTTCTTACATTCAAAGATGAACTCTCATTTCCAAACTTAAAAGCATGCTCAACACAATCTCATAGTGCCTATATGCAATAAACACATATCCAAGGAGCAAATCTCCACTCCAAGCTAAGGCATGTTAAATAATTAATCTCATGAAGTCTATAGGCAACTCATACTCGATGCACAACAACATGAGGAAAATAAGTCATTCCCTTGAAAACTTAAGCAATTTATGAGCATGCATATTAAAGAAATCATGGAAACCCATAAAATACTCATGACTTCAAATCATAGAACAAACCAAGATGAAATTAATTATCTCAACCTAGAGTAGGAGGAGAAGGAAAGAGATGAGGATATCGGGACATCAGATCATCCTGGGCCTCCCAAGTAACACCCTCAAATAAGTGATTCCTCCCAAGTAGCACCCTCAACTAAGTGATTCTTCCATAACACTTTAACGGAAGCACCTTCCTTTTTCCTGAATTTCTTAACTTGCCGGTCTAGAATCTCAATCGGAACTCCTTCATGAGAAAGGTTCTCTTTCACTCCCAAACCTTCTAAGGGAACCATGGATGTCAGATCTCCAACACACTTTATCAAAATAGAGACATGGAAAATTGGATGCACCAATGCAAACTCAATAGGAAAATCATGCTCATAAGTAACTTTACCAACACGTCTCAAAATCTCATATGGGCCTACAAAATGGGGACTAAGCTTCCCTTTATTCCCAAACCTCATTACACCCTTCATGGGTGAGATTTTCAAGTAAAACCTATCATGCACATCAAATTCAAGATATCTCCTTCTAACATTGGCATAAGTCTTTTGTCGACTTTGGGAGGTACTCAACCTCTCTCTAATGAATCAAACTTTCTCAATAGCCTCATAAACTAACTCGAGCCCTATCAAGGCAATCTTACCCACCTCAAACCATCCAATAGGATATCTACACCTCCTATCAACATATCGCATTTCATGAATTTTTTCTCTCTCTAGAATTCTTTAAGATTTTTCACAAAATTAGCCATCTCAGCTAATTTTGTCACGATTTCAGCATCAAGAACATGGCTGGTGTGCCGCCACGAGATAGATTTAGGCCACCAGATCATGTTACAGTGTTGAACAAGCAAAATACACATCCATCCATACATGAATCGTCATTAGACTTATCCTACAACTCCTCGTAGGTGAGAGAAGAGGCGATCCACACTGCCATGGCAGAAAGGGAGTTGGATGGGACTCGTATAAATGTTTCCATGGGAGATTCTAGTCAAATTCATGGTACAAGGAGCAGCGAAAATATATCACAGTCTCACGAGTTACAAGATGCCCAAAAATCATATGAATTTCCCATCCCAATTGCGCGAAATCAACAGTTACGGTGGCTAGGTCTGTTGGTGAATCGCCTCAAAGGCGCCCTCAAGATTATAATACTTAGGAGGTGATTTGACCTGAATTCGCTACTGGGGATGGTAACACTGGTCAGGGAGGACATTTCACCGAAGTTTCAAGCTCGTTTCATGGTGGAACCATCGGAAGAGAAGCTTTGGGTGACTCTATAGGACTTTCAGCGAAGAATTCTGGAAATTTGGTCACAACAGAGGAAATGCATCTTGTCACACAGCAACAAAATCCACATAGAGAAGGTAAACAACATGTTCAAGATTTGGGTCAATCTAGAACCTCTAATGTGGACGATTTCAATAAGAAAAAGGGCAATGAATCAGGTAAACCTCTTATTGATAATGCTCGTCCAAATGTGAATCCTGCATATAATTTTTCTGCTACTGAGTTTCATAGAATTGTGAATGATCAATCGAAGGCCTGGGTGGCTAAAGAACAGGGCAATTCTGGTTCTCTGAAGACTGTTCATGGTACTCAAACTAAGGAATATAATCGCATTGATCAACAACAAGATTATCACTCTAATTTTCCTAGATTTTCTAGCACTTTTGATCGATAGGTGCCTAAATCTAATACTAATATTGCTAGAATTGATCGTCCTAAATTTTAACCTCCCAATTCTTCTAAAACTGATCCAGTAGCTGAGCCTGCTCCTTACACAGTAGTGCAGACCTATGATGATCGACTTCAAAATAATCAGGCCAAAAGTGATGTTAACATTAAAATAACAGCCCCTGAAATTACTACGAAACAAGGTTTACCTGCTGTTCTGTATGTTAAAGAAGAGATCATTCATGATTTGGCTGTTGCTTGTAAGTATACTCTCATTGGGAAGTTTAGCACCACCATGCCTAAAGTGGATCTTATTAGGAATAATTTCATCTTACAGACTCAATTATCTGGTGGAGTTAAGATTGCACATTTTAATTCTCATCATGTCTATATTGATCTTGATATTGAGCTTGATTATAATATGGATTGGACTAAACAAAGGATGACTATCTCTAGCAAAGTGATGAGAATTCAAGTATGGACTCCTAGTTTTAAGCCTGCTGAAGAAACTTCTATAGTCCTTATATGGTTCTCTTTACCGGAATTGCCTTGGCATTGTTATAATAAAGAGTTTGTGACAGGGCTGCTTTCACCTATAGGAAAAGTGTTATACTTAGATTCTGCTTCTATTAAAAAGACTAGAGGTAGTCAAGCTAGGGTGAAGGTTCAAGTGGATCTCACTCATAAGAGACCTCCTTATATTTGGATGGGTTATATCGGGGAGGATATCACTGATGGGAGATGGCAAAAGATTGAATATGATAACATTCCAGATTATTGTTTTTATTGTATGCATCAAGGGCATGTGGAAAATGATTGCACAATTAAACAAAGGGATGAAGAGAAAAGGAAAAAGGATTTAGACAATGTGAGAAACAAGAATAATAAAGATATGGATACCAATCAACAATAGACTAAAGGTTCCAAAGAATCTGGTCCACAAGATGATCATACCAATCTTTATAATCAACCAAGGGAGCAGGGTCAAAAGCAGGGGCAGCAAGAGGATCAGTAGCAAACACAAAGGAGGAGGAATACTACTCAGCAGCAGGTAACAAGGGGCACCAACATACAATCAGACCAGTCTACCAAACAGGTAGGTATAATGGCCATTCCTACACAAAATCCATATACTAATCTTGATGTGCAGAAGTCCTCAGCTCATTTGGAGGAACTGGAAATACACAATGGTAGCAAGCAACATAGCAGGCTGCAACCAGCATTAAATCAACAACAGGAAGAAGGTGAACAACTCAGAACTATACCAAAATACAGTGATAATATTGCAGGAAAAATAGTGAGTAAAGGGCAGGAGGTTACAGGTATTGACTCAATGCTTTCACCCCTAAACCCTTTGAAACTGTTATTGCTATTGAGGAAGCTGTTGGAGGCATGGATGGGAGGGAACAGGGGACACCTACTAACTTGCAGGGAGGGGTGTCCAAACAGGGGGGGGGAACTGACTCATGCTAGACATGAGGAACTGGAATTTGACCATAGAGGAGACTCTAGAGCCCCTGTTACCCCACTCAGAAATCAAAAGATTCCTGACACACAAGAAATTATAGATACTCATCAACAACACAATAGATTCAATAATAAATCTGGGGAAAGGTTGAGTAAAAAGATAAGGGACGCTATAAAAAAGAGAATGTAGAAGAATATTGGCCAGGATCCGGATGTAACTAATACTGGTACACCTATTAAGGATCAGGATTTGTCTAAAGATCAACAGGGCAAGCTGCTCCCTGATGATTTTGGGGAACTTAACTCTGAAGATGAGGTGGATCCTGATAATCAATCTATGGATGAATCAGAAGAGGATGCAGATGACACCATGAAGCAGACAGGCCCAGTCTTTGGTTCCAATCTCCACGATAAATGTTCTGATGTTCAAAGAGTGACAGAAGAACATGGTTTATCTCCAAGGGGAAGGAAACAGACTAGGCACATTCCTCATCAGAGTATCACCAGCATGTCTGACAATTCTTGCAGGCTAATGACTAGGTCCAAATCGAAAGGTTATTGATGATTAAAGCCATTTGTTGGAATGCTAGGAGTATCAACACTAAAGGAGCATTGGAAAGACTGCAAACTCTCAAGAAAGCTCATAATCTATCTATTATTGCTATCTTGGAACCATTTGCAGATCAGTCTCATATTGCCATAGTAAAATTGCAACATCAAATGGATCAGGCAGTCAGTAATCCTAATGGGAAAATTTGGTTGTTTTGGTCTAATGATATCACTGGACAGGTCCTCGAAAAACATGATCAACATATTACTGTAACCTTTCAGCACACTGCTCTCCCGAATAAATTCATGATGTCTTTTGTTTATGCTAAATGTAAAGAGTATATGAGGAGACCTTTGTGGGACAGGTTACTTTTATATGCTAATATGGATTTTCCTTGGTGTACTATTGGTGATTTCAATGTTATTACATCTATAGAGGAAAAACTTGGTGGGATACCTTACATTATGAATAAGAGTCTTCAATTTATTGGAGTTATAGAGGCATGTGGATTGATAGATCTAGGGTACACATGGCTTCTTTTTACATGGTGTAATCAAAGGGATGCAGAAGCTAGAGTTTGGAAGAGATTAGATAGGTCTATGGCTAATGATAAATGGTTAGAGAATCTGCCTCAAACTACTATTGAGAATCTATCCTCTGTTGGTTCTAATCATAGTCCTCTTTTAATGGAGATGATTCAAACAAATTAGAGTCATAAAAAATATTTCAAGTTCCTACATTGTTGGGTTGAAAATGGGAATTTTATGAACACAGTTCAGCAGTGTTGGGACCAGGTCACTACTGGTAATCCTATGTGGAAATTACATATGAAAATGAAGAGATTAACTTCCACTCTTAGCAAATGGTTCAAACAGGAGTATGGTGACATTTTTACTAAGGTTAGGGAGTTTGAGGAGTCCATTAGGAAGTCTGAAGAGGAATTTATGACAAATAATACTGAAGCTATTAGACAGAAGTTACATCAGATGAATGCAACTTATATTACGTATTTGAAATTGGAAGAAGCTATTCTTCAACAAAAGACCCAATTACAATGGTTTCAAGAAGGAGATGCCAATACAAAATACTTTCATGCTTTGATGAGAGGTCGGAGAAAGAGGCTTTTTCTTCATAAGATTTGTATTGAAAATGAGGTGTGGATACAGGGTGAGGAACAAATTGCTCAGGCAGCTTGTGATAAATATTAACACCAATTTACTGGACAAAATGACAGGATAGATGAAAGAATCCTTTAATATATTCCTACAATAATTACTCCTGATCAGAATGAGATGTTGCAAGCAATACCTAATATAGATGAACTCAGACATGTTGTGTTTGCTATGAATCCATATTCAGCAGCAGGTCCTGATGGCTTTGGGGGCAAATGTTATCAGGTTTGTTGGAATATCATTAAAGAAGATCTATTGGCTGTTGTACAATCATTCTTCTGTGGTCATATTATGCCTAAGTTCATGTCTCGTGCCTGTTTGGTTTTACTTCCTAAAATTGAGCATCCTTCCAGATTAACAGAACTCAGACCCATCAGCCTTAGTAATTTTACAAATAAGATTATTTCCAAAGTGTTGAACATGAGATTGGCTACTGTCTTACCTCTATTGTTATCAGACAATCAATCAAGGTTTGTGAGAGGCAAAAGTATAACTGAAAGTATCATGCTAGCACAAGAGATTACAAATGGTATTAAAAAACCCGAGATAGGAAGTAATGTGGTTATCAAACTTGATATGGCCAAGGCATATGATAGAGTGTCTTGGTCATTTGCATGTTTGGTTTTAAGGAGATTTGGTTTTGGGGAAATGTTTATTGATTTAGTTTGGAGAATAATGGGTAACAATTGGTATTCTATTATAATTAATGGTCTCAGAAAAGGTTTCTTTCATTCTACTAGAGGACTTAAGCAAGGTGATCATTTATCCCCTGCCCTATTTATTTTAGGAGCATAGGTTAATACAAGGATGCTTAATTCTCTACATCAGCTTCCAAGATATAAAGGTTTCTTTATTGTCACGACCCGGGAGCACCCCTTAGTCGTAACCGGCGTACTCGACCTCGAAGAGGTCTAATACAAGTCTCTTAGCATTCATTCATCGCATAGACACCAAAACCATAAGGGATTAAAAACTTTCTTAACACACGAAGATACTTTCAATAAATAGCAAGCGGAAGACTTTCTAGACTTTATACAATATGTCTCAAAACCATCTAATACTTGAATATAACATTGGGACTAAGCCCACTCAAAACTTAAGCAAATACTAGAGAGACATAAAAAAGAACATGTTGGTTATTGCCCTCGAATCTATGAGGACTCACCAAGTCTTCATCTTCAACTCTTAAAAACCTATCAAGTAGCCATGACATATCACCATCTCCAAATCCCTACACTTTAGTCAAAAAGCGAAAGAAAGGGGTTAGCACAATTAAGTACTAAGTATGGAGACCATGCAAGAAAATATGCACAACGGACATTTACAAGAAATGTATGCTTTCATATCCTTTGATAAAACCTTTCCTTTACAAGTATAAGAGACAAAATACAAATCAACATTAACATATAAGACCATAGCCAACCATACATATACTTAACATAAATCCATATACAACCCATGCTTAACTTTAGAAGGACACATGTCATTTCAT